TGTTGGAGTGGAGTGGGTCAGAGTTTCGAGCGAAAGATTGGCATCACATAGAACACATAAATTGAACGCAAACATCCAAATTGTGCATCAGCCTGACGTGCAAAAACGCAATCATCATTTGAGTATAATGATGTACATACTCACAGAATACTCGAGATTTATGAGAGGGAGAGTAAAATGGCGAGGTCTGAGTGTGGGATCGACCGTGGTCGGACGGTGAGTAGCCGCTGGGCGTTGGTTGCGCAAGCATTGCCACCACAAGATGAGAGGGCGCTCGCTTACATAATCATGGAATTACATGCCGATTGCACACGAGGCTGGAAAAGTCTGCGCAGGATGAGATCCTGCTTGTAATTGTCTTCGACCCTCCCACTGCTCCGCTATAAAACATCACTAATGCCTCCCGTTGATACTCGCTATTATGATGTAGTGCGTGTCCACACAGCCTATACTGGCCGTCTATGATTCGTTATATAACGCCATCCACTGACGCCGTGCTCTTTAAAGCTCGGAGTAGCCCCAGAGGTGAACGATTCGGATCTCAAGAAGGCATACAGAAAACAAGCAATCAAATATCATCCCGATAAGAACCCATCTCCCGATGCAGAGGAGAAATTCAAGGAAATTTCTAAAGCGTATCAAGTTTTGAGTGACCCGGTAGGTCATCTCCTTTGGACAACCTTCAACCTATACATTGCGTTTCATGCACTTTTGCTCTAATCAGGACCCAACTGATCATCTTTTAACAGAATCTTCGGGCTGCCTATGATAAACACGGCATCCAGGAAGTTGGTGCGCTCGGCGGAGGGGGAGTGGAAGACCCTAGTGCTTTCTTCGCTGCAGTATTCGGGGGAGATAGATTTAATGATTATGTCAGTCTCAAGCCGGTCTCTTTCTGACTGGCCACCAGTCTCGAGTGGTATTGCTAACACCCGGCAGATTGGTGAAATCTCTTTGATGAAAGAGATGACCTCGGTGACAGAAGCCATGATGACCGAAGAGGAGCGTCAAGAAATGGAGAATGAATGGAAGAGTGCTCTAACACCTCCCACTGCGGTCGGAACTCCAGCTACAGAGAGCAAAGCGCCAGACCATCCCACAGCAGCATCATCGTCCCCCTCTCCATCCAAGAGCCCCATTACTCAAGATGGTCCCAGTGTAGAGCATCCTGACGAAACGCACGGCGAAACCAGTGCTACAGCGTCCAACAAGACTCCGGAAAACAAGGCTAGTGAAGAAGGGCACGTTGGGACACCCAACCCAGCTGGTACTCCAGGAACATCTACACCAAAGGATCCAAGGGAATTCGCTAAGCGCCGAAATAAACTTACTCCTGAACAAAAGGCAAAGATCGACGCTATCGGAGAAGAACGGGACAAGGCCCTAGAAAAGAGAATAGACGATTTGACTTCAAAATTAAAGGATGTTTGCGTTCAATTTATGTGTTCTATGTGATGCCAATCTTTCGCTCGAAACTCTGACCCACTCCACTCCAACA